ATAAGCCAGATGCAATGTCTGGTTTTATGACATCTGGAAACTGTTTCCTTTGACCAAAAAGACTGCATTACTTCAAATCCCACCAAGAAATATTGCAGTTAACTTTCTAGGTGGTCAAGTTAGTCCCTGTGGGTCTTTGGAAGAACGGAACCCACTAGGTAATAGAAAAAGAGAGCTACAAGGGGCACAGGGGATTGTCAGGGATAACCTGTGCAAAATTCATGCATGACATTTATGTCAATAACATTCCAACTGAGTAAATACTGACCCTAACATTGGCAAAGGAATTTATCAAATTTATGAGAATACGATTTTTTCACTATGAAAAGTAAGTTTAGAATTGAATACAAGGATATTAAATTTGGATAACTATACATTTTATAATAGTCTATCAATGGGTTAATAACAGAATTTGATTAGACAACATACTACTCCTAGATAATCTTATAATCCAGCTCCATTTTCATATCTACTATAAATTTAGGAATATATAAGTAAATCTCTGTTCAGAAATGTTTGAATCATGGGGCAAATAAATACTTATGGGAAAGCAAAATTATAGAGAAGGAAAGAGTAGAAAAGCAAGAGCTATAGACATGTTAAACAAAGAAAATTTCTAGCAGACTCTAAGCCCCTTCTGGTTCTTGGGCTTAAAAGCTACAGTCATGGATCAGTGACTTAGAGAAAGAGAGGAGCATATAATACCAAGACTTCTGAAAGTATAAAAAGAAATAATGAGGTAGACATTAGAAGAAAACATTAGTTCACATATCTTGGGTTAATTCAATACTAGCAACAAAATGGAACAAAAAAAAAAAAAGCTGGGCTATCAGTTTGAACAAATGGCCATACAAAGAGGACCTTGAAAATATCTATTTGAGTCTTCATTCCCTTTATATAAAAGTCACATTTCCCAGCAGCCACCAGACAAGGGAAGGATAGAAACTATCACAAATGGAAAGATGAAAAAAGTAATAGGAAACTCAGTAGAGCCTGGGAACAAAAAGGGCAGTGGAAGCAAGGGAAACAGTTAAAATCCAAGAGTCAGAAGATATATTAAATTGCTTAAATGACTACAAGAGAAATGCTTCAGCATGATGACACTGAGAGATTCACAGAAAGGACACTATGAAAGAGTTCCACATACACACTGAAACCAGAGGTGTAGGAGAGCTTGGCAAAAAGAAGAACTAAGTCCCTCTTGATTCTTCAATGCCACAGGGCTTCAGGCATTCAGATGGACATGGAAGATTACCAAAAGCAACGTCAAACCAGCTTATCTGGGGAAGATGCTATACCAAAAACAAAGTGACCTTTTGTTTGAGGGCATTGCCAAAGAAGCAATCAAACTGGGGTTATAGCCAGAACTCAGAGTATGGAGAAAGAATGAGACAGCAAGCAATACAAGGGAGCTCTGACTAAGTAAGAAGAAGAAAAGTAATAAATTCTCAGACCCAGAATTCAGCCTGTGGTTCCAGAAAGATATAAATAAATTGTGGCAGAATGGACATCACTTTCTGATGTAGAAGACTTGAACAGTACAATTTCATCACTCAAACAATACTGCAAACATTTTATGGCCCTGTATGTGGTCAATTGTCATCAATAGTCAATATGTGCTTGAATCTAGCAATGTATAAAACAATATACATTTAAAACATGAAAAAGTGAGATCATGTGCTTATTTCAAATATAGTCAGGAAAAGCATTTAATAAGATATAATATCCATTCATGTTCAGAAGCAAAACTACAGCAAGACAAAAAAGAACTAGATAAAGAAGAAAGATCTCTAAATTAATAAGACTAGCTCCAAAAAATCTTCCAGGAAACCTCAGTGTTTAATGGACTGACAGTGGTCAAAGCCAGATCATCACAGTAAAGAACACAAGGTGACAAAGGGTAAGTCAAAAAGCAGGTAGGAGCAGGGCCAGAGGTTGGCATTATTGAGTTTTCAGGTTATGTATCAACACTAAACATAAAGACTAAAGACGATTTGAAACTTTAAAAAATGGGGAAACTGATACAATGACAAATGGATGCTAAGACCTACCAAAGATCCTGTTCTTTGGTGAAGCTATTAATTTAAAGGAAGTTAATGTTAGAGCCAGAGTATAAAGAAAAGAACATAATCGTAAATAAGTAGCTAACATCTGTAGTAGTGCTAATATCAAAACTGAGAAAGATCAAAGAAATATCAATAATTTCATTAGTAACTCATGCTTATAATTGGTTATGATCACACTTCTAAAAATTTTAGGTCTTGGTACCTTTAGTTATTTGTTATATTACTAGAAAGGTTCTATACATATGGATGTGTCCAACTTGTCCTCATACAAATACAATGAAATCAAGATCATACTCAATTATGTACATATGAAAATTAATTTTTAAATGTTGAATCAAAAAATTTGAAAAATACTAACAAATCTATCAGAAGTCAAGTCCATTAAACATCAGATTAATATCACACAACGGTGATGTACGTAACCATATCCAAACCAAAACAAAGATAAGACGAACTCCTGCTGTGTCTCAGAAGCATCTTCAATGGTTTTCTGAATTCAAAAACATGATATGGGATAATAATTTGAACTACACAAACGTTATGATGCAGAATGAGCAGAATCATCACTCCTAGTAATGTTTTCCATCCAGAACATTTTTCCATAAAATAGTAAAGCAAGAAAATACATTGACCAGGACAAATTTATAGTAGTAAATCTAGGATTCTCCAAACATACTAAGCATTATTTTAAAAGCTTTTAGAAAACATTTTTTTCCTCTGAAGTATAAGTGACTGTATAAATATTACAGTATTCTACCATACTGATGTGGCAAATATTTTACATTTATCTGCAGCAGAAAGGAAGGAAAATGGGTTAGGCACTTCATGTAAATAACTCAAGGTAACAGCTTGAAAAAAGAGCAAAAAGACTTTCAAAATTTACTTAAGAATGACCAATGTTCACACCCAGGAAGACATCTTAAATCAACTTGAAAAGAAGAATTACTTTTGGTTTTGAGAGACCTGCTATTAACCTTTTATTCAATCGAATAATAAATAGTGATGATATTCTGAAAATATCTTTGAACACCTTTCTAAAAATATGGTTTTTTTTCTAAACGAACACTAGAGTACTTGGGAACACTTAAAGCCCTGTAACTACATTCCTAGTTCTGTTTCTTCTTGAATATGTATTTATTAAAGGAGGGACTGATGTGGTAAGCAAAAAATGTGTTTTTTTAAAGTAAGTGTTCTTAACCTGGGCTTCCATGAAATTGGATAGGAAAAGTTGCATCATCATTTTTAATAATTTCTGACAGTAAATATTTCCTTCACTGGTTATTCTAAGCGAAACCCCAGGCATTGTGGCTTGTTGCCAGTAAAATGATGCTTCCATTTCGTGTTAGAGTCCCTCTTGTTATCTGGATTGTTTACATTCATTACACCACTAAAGTATAGTACTAAGTAGACTCCACTAATTGGTTTTATTATTTAAAAATGCACTAATTAGTATGCATTACTATATGACAAATTGGCTTGTTAATATTTTGATCGATGCTTTTAATTAATAGGCTTTCTTTTTATTCTATATGATGACTTTGCCCATCATATAGAATAAAATGGGTTTTTGGTTCAACTACATTGCTGAAGATGTTCATGGAAAAAAAAAGTTTATCTCTGTTTTATAGGGGAGATTTTAAGGGAGGACACATATGAGAGGCAGAGGATAAAAGAAGAAAGTTAAGAAGGTGAATATGGTTGATGTACACTGTACAAGAATGAATATAGAATTTTTAAACCTGTTGAAACCACCATAAGAAGGGGATTAAGGTAGAAAGAGGAAAAATAGAGGAGATGAACCAAGTCAGGTTCTAATACATATATACAAGGAAATATCACAAAGGAACTTCCTGTGTAGCTATCTTAAACAAAAAAAAGTCATTTTTTTTCTTTTACAAAATTGGAGAACAGGAGGATGGAATAGGTCCTGCCTGGGAGGTTGGTACCAGTGAGAGGGAGAATGAGGTGGGGAAAGGGCATGGTTGGGTGAATATGGTGCAAATACTGTGTCCACATGTTTGTAAATGGAAAAATGAGACCTGTTGAAACTATTCCAGGAATGGGGGGAGAGGAAGGAAAAGGAGAATGAGAAGGTGAATTCAAGTATGATGTATTTGATATATTGTAAGAACATATGCAAATTCCACAATTTACCTCCACCCAGCACAATTTAAAAAAAAAAGAATCTGTTTTAGAGAAGGAGAAACAAAGTTTGTTTCTGACATTTCACTTCATTTCCTCTCTCCTCAGTAAAGTTAAAAAAAAAAAACTCCACCTTTGACTCTTGTCATGCTAATGATCTTTTCTCATTTCTCATTTGCTGACACCAGATAGGTTCCACCTTTTCAAAGGCAATGCATTTTAAACAATAGCATTCTACCTTTTCCCTCTTCTGTACTTCAGATTAGTGGTTATCCTGATTGTAACAAAGCAACTTCCTTTCCATCAATGTCTTTCCATGTCATGCATATTCACTATCTTTTCCTTTTGTCATTCTAAATGCCAGTAAAGTTACCAAATTCAAGTAAATTCAGGGGGTTCTAACTCAACAGGTTACCAGCAATGGGTCCATCTGGGTTTAAAAGCCTGCTCTGCAGTTGAAATCACACACCATTTGCAGGAGCGCCCCCACAGACCACCCCACCACCACTCCCACATCTGATACTTAAGAAAGAGGTTCTTTGCTCAGAGGGTCGATTTTTCCCAGAAAGCAGACACTAGCTTTCCCTGACATTGGAGTCTTCCAAGCTCCTCCCCCCTGGCTGGAGGGAAAGAGTGGTCTCTTGCTTGGGTTCACTTAGGTGTTAATCTCTCTTGTGTCTACTTTCAACTCCTCTATCAACCACCTAGATCAATGAGAAACCCCATTGCCCTGCTCCCTGAACAGCTCTTGACTGAATCCCACGAAATGCCAAGGGATCCAAGCACACTTACCAGTCCTCCACACAAGCTGAAGACCGCCGTGTGATCTTCCCGCGAGTTGACCTGGCCACGGTAGAAGCAGTGGCGTAGGTCCGGGGGCGCTGAGCTGCGCTCCTGGACCTGGTGCGCGGGGGTCCCCAAGTGCACCTCGCTGTAGCCGGCGGCCAAAAAGGCCGCATCCGCGCTCAGGTTCAGCTGGAAGAGCTGCCCATAGGCGCTGATGCTGTAGAGGGTCCTGAACGGCGCGGGTTCCGGAGCCTCGGAACTGCGTTTCTTCCGGCTGAAGTGGCGGCTCTGAGGAAATACTTCTCCGAACTCATTGATCCGCGCGGGGGTCACCACTTCGTAGGAGGCCAGTGTCTTCACCAGGGCTTCTACAACCACAGCGACATCGCCATGAAATCCCCAAGCGATCCCAAGCCCCATGCTTCTTACAGCAAACATCCGTGCTCAAAGTTCTGGTACACATTCCCAAGGGGAGGACAGATGCACACACAAACACACACACACGTGCGCACTGGGACTATGCATGCTCTACTTTCCCACACCCCCGATTCGTTCCACCTTCCCACTCGCGGCCCCGAGTAGCCCACCTCCTTCCCCGGTCCCTCTGCGCTTCCCATCTGCCAGCAGCTCTTGCCCCTCGAGTGCACACGCCACCCTGCCCCACGAGCCCCTGCCGCGTGGTCCTGGAAGATGTGTGCCCAGCGCGCGCGATTCCTCGAAATCCGGTGCAACTGAGAAGTCTCAGGATGCTACTAGTCGGGGAGTCCCAGGATTCCCTGCAGGGCCAGTGCTCCCCAACCCACAGAGCCTCTCCCTCCGTCCGTATGTCCCACTCCCTCCCGACCCCCATCACGATGCTGAAGGAGCCCGATGGTGACCTTACCTTGTCTGGGGTGAAAATGAAGTTCACAAGACTTGGTGATGAACAGCGAGAGCTGGTACAGCAGCCCCGTCAGCCATTTGGCCACCCGCATGGTTCCACCCAGGGGATCCCGACTAGGGAGGCCAACCCCAGCCGCCCGCCGCCCACCCGGCGTCCCCCGCGCTCCGCTGCCTCGCCTCCCTCTCGCCCGCCGCTCTCGGCGCCCACCGCCCCAGCGCCTCAGCAGCCTCCGAAACAGTAGCCCCGGCCCCAGACCGGCCAGTCTCGCCACACCGCCAGCCTCCGGTCCCTAAGCCGCTGCTTCATCGCACTCTAGCCGCGCCACCCCCGGCTCGCTCCCCTTCCTGCGCTGCGCCACCCTCCTAAACCCTCTGCTCCAGTACAGCTACGCGCAGGGAAGCCACTCGATCTAGCAAGAACAGTGCCAATATAACCTCCTCCAGCTGGGCCAGCGCCAGGGAGAACCCGCCCCCAGGGCCCGACCAGCCAATCCGCGCTAGGCGCGGCCCTACTTGCCCTCCCGCGCGCAGCTCCCCCCCATCATTCTCCACCCCTCCTCCCACCCCAGCGACACACTGACTGAGGTTCTCCACGCTGCCTCTGCGCGCGTGCAACGTGAGGTGCAACCCAGAGGTGCGCTGGACATCCACTGTCGGTGCCTCTAACACCCACAGTGATGGAGGGATCAGATAGGTGATAAGTGATGAAATCACATGCAGGAGATAACAAAGCTGTCATTTATATTTCATGACTTCAGGCTTCTCAAAATTAACTAAGCTACAATAGGAAGTTCTTGTGGGCAGAGAATGGTACCAATGGAGCTTAGTGTCTAGAACATATTTTCAATGAGACCTTGAGGGAGTCTCTGGGACTTGAACAGTGTTACTGGGATAAAGGAGGCTGTGTTTGCAATCAACTAGCACTTGAGAAGGAAATTGCTAGCCATTCATTGCCTGAAGAAATTCATGAAAAGAATTTGAGTCTCTGAAGTTACAATACCTGGTTGTGATCTTTTTTCTTTCTAAATATTCATTTTTGTTCTTAATTTTGTATTCACACACACACACACACACACACACACACACACACAAAGTATATAAACATCAAGAACCCATAAAACGTATAAGCCCTTGCTGGGGAGGTGATTATTTTTAGGAGAGTTTCTGGTGGTAGTTCCACAAATACCCTTCCTTACAATATCCAACTCCATGTATCCACGCTTATCCTCTTTAACAATTATTGTAGCACTGAATCCATTTGTGTGGCTAGGTGTGTGTTAAATTGGATAAACTTCACTGGGAGGAGAAAACACTCATCATTTCAGCACTACTTTCTTAGGTCCCAAATTCACTTGTTTGATTAATTACTTCCATAATTATTTCTCTCTATAACCTATATGAATACAAAAGGAGAAGGAGTGGTCAGATTGCCTCAAAATCCAACAAAGGGAGCTAAAGAAAAGAAGAGGAAAAGTAAGAAATATAGAGGCAAATCTTCACAAACATGCTAAAATACACTTTCAACTTAGCTCCTGATTAGCATTCCTCCTCTGAGCTTTGGGCAGTGGAAATTATCCTCTCTTTAAATTGACCTCTGAAGGCATTCTTCTTCATTTTTGTATCATATTTCTCATTCATCTGTTGTTCACCACAAATGTTCTCTGATTTTGTAAAAAGAAAAAAAATGGCATTTTTGTTTAAGATAGCTACACAGGGAATTTCCTTGTGACATTTCCATGTATGTGTGTGTATATATATATATATATAATATATATATATATATATATATATATTATAACTTGAATTGGTCCATCTCCTCTATTTTTCATCTTTCTACCTTAGCCTCTTCTTATGGTGGTTTCAACAGGTTTAAAAATTCTATTTTCACTTTTGTACAGAGAGTACATCAACCATAATCACCTTCTTAACTTCCTTCTCATACAGTATTTAAGTAGTTTCTGCCAATCCTTCCTGAATTCAAAAGTCTTTTCATTATATTAGTCTACTAATATGATGTTCCTAAGTCATAAATAAGCAAATTTATGGCTATTTAAATCAAGCTATTTCCTCACACTAATCATTAGAGCTACCACTCTTGAAGTCTCTAACATACCAGGCATTGTATGCCAAACTTTAGAAAGGTTGCCTTATTGAATTAGCCCCATGAGGCTCAGAAAAATTTCATAATTCACTCTGGCTACTTATCAAGTAAGAGTCAAATTTCTTTGGTTTCAAATTCCATACGTTTTAGAAGAAAGTTGAACTCTTCATACCAGCTCAAAGCTGATGCACAGTTGTAGCCAGGAACAACTCAGAAAATAAAAGCCATATTTAAATCAAATACAGTTTTGTTTGATTTGTAATTCAGACAATCATCATTATAAGTACAAACTATGTGACTAGCTTGGCACAGGGTGAAGAAAACACTTTCAATACTGCAATGCAGGGATATGCTTACTATACTCAGGGGTTATATAGAATTCATTTTATAATCCTAATTGTTGTGTGAAGTTGAATGCCTCAGTAATAGAAGACTTTTTTCTCAGTTGTAGAATGAAGGCAATAATAGTAGCTCATGTGGTTTTTAAATATATTAAAAGACATAATTCAAGTAACATATGTGTAATATTGGACAAAATATGTACTTAAGATATGTTCACACTGATGGTGATATTTTTTGGCAGTACTCGGGTTTGAACTCAGGGCCTCATGCCTGCAAGCGCTCTACCACTTGAGCCACTCTGCCAGTCCTGATTATGATTTTTATTACATTACAATAGCAGAGTGAATGTTAATACCAAAAAGAACAACTTTTTGAATATAGACTGCTTTTCTAATATCAGTTTGCCTCAAAGGGGAGTTTTTCTGAGTTGCAAGTCTTTCAGTGTTAAAACTTGGGAAGACTTCAAATCTAAGTTCAGGGTTTCTCTACCAAGGTAACATTAACTTTTGGGGCTGGATGAGTCTTCATTCTTCTGCCCGGTACACTGCAGCCTCTACATACTAAATACTAATAGTACTGTACCCTTGCTTTAACAACCAAAAATATTTTCTGACATTGCCAAAGGGTTCTTAAGAGCAAAATTGCCCCCAGTGATATTGGTGCTATAGTGATGGTAGAGAATTGGGAAGTGATAAATGCACAGATTCTATTATATTGAAAATGGCTAGTTACTTAATAGAAACTATATATTCTAACAAGTATGAAAATGACCTATCACTGTATTTATAGCAGAGTAAGTGTGGTCATCTTGCTAATAACTAAAAGCATCACCATTGCTTCCATGTATGTCTGGTCTGATACATATTACACTTTATTTCAATTATCTATTTGCTAACTGTACACAACACCAAATTATTTGGGTTAAGTGAGAAGAGATCACAAAAAGGTGCTTGAGATAGCATTCCTAATACGGAATCTGTGCTTCATTGGATAGAGATAAATAAAATGCTCATATAATACATAAAGACTAACTGACATTTATACAGCCTAGATATAATCAAGCAAACACCAACCAATTTTACCATCAGTCTTTTAACTATAATATTTACTCCATTCACATTTAGTATGATTATTGATATGGTTCATTCAAGTCCATCATCTTGCTGTTTGTTTTCCACTTCACTATCATTCATTCTTTCTTTTTTCCTCTGTATCTTCATTCATTTGGATTAATTGAATCCTTTATTTTTCATTTCATTATTTTTACATTTATTCACATGTGTATACATTGTTTGAGCCACGTCCCCCCACACCCAGCTTCCAGGCAGAACCTGTTCAGCCCTCTTCTTCTCTACTGTTGTTGAAAACATAAGAGAAAATAAGAGAAAGACACTAGCATTTTTGCTAGTTTAAGATAAAGATAGCTATACAGAGAGTTCCTAGCTTTGCTTCCATGTACATGTGTATTGTAACCCACATTGGTTCATCTCTACCAGACCTTGTCACTACTTCCAAGTTCCCTTTCCATGGTGACCTCTGACAGTTTAAGATTATTATATTCACTCCTCTATAGTAAGCACATCAACCACATTCAAGTTTCCTTCCCTTTCCCTATTCCTCATTCTCCCTTTAGTGTGTGACCCATATCCAGTAATATTAATGCACTTGTTTAGGTCTATATGGAGAACAGGCGATTTTTGACCTTCTGAGCCTGATTAACTTCACTTAAGATAATGTTCTTCAGTTCCCTCAAAAAACTTGCAAATAACAAAATTTCATTCTTCTTTGTGGCCCATTAAAATTCCGTTGTGTATAAATACCACATTTTCTTAATCCACTTGTCAGTAGTAGGGCATCTTGGCTGTTTCTATATCTTAGCTATTGTGAATACTGCTGCAATAAACATGGGTGTGCAGTGCCTCTGGAGTAACCTGTGTCACATTCTTTTGGGTATATCCCCAAGAGTGGTATTGCTGGATCATATGGCAGGTCTAGTTAAGTGTGGTTTTTTTTTCCTTTTTCTTTTATTATTCATATGTGCATACAAGGCTTGGGTCATTTCTCCCCCCTGCCACCACCCCCTCCCTTACCATCCACTCTGCACCCTCCCCCCCCCAATACCCAGCAGAAACTATTTTGCCCTTATTTCTAATTTTGTTGTAGAGAGAGTATAAGCAATAATAGGAAGGAACAAGGGTT